CGTCCTGCGGTCGTAAAGCGGCTCGTCTCCGTTCGGGAAGCGTGCGTCCTGCGTTCGTGCCACAAAAAGTGGATACTTGGGCGTAATTCTAACTGTAGCACACGTATCTCATTTGACCCCGATCACGAGTACCGACAGAGACAGAATACGCCGTGGCTATCTCAACAGTTATCCCTTTGGGGGCCGCATAGCAAAATCTAACTAACCAGTCACTTATCCTTTTCTTTCGCATAAAAATATAGAAACACAAAGTAAACTCTCTCCAATACATGCCTATTAACATAACAAAATAAGTTCATATGTGTTCCAACTCTGACAAAGATACTAACGAGGTTAATAGTTTTAGATATTTATTCATAACATAAACAGCATTTCTGTTGATTCCATTTCGGCTTTAACTGGCTATTCGGAAGAATATATGCACCGTACTAACTGATAGGGCAGTTATTTTCTTCTTTGAATACTTCCCACCTGTAATAATGATTCCATAACATATTCCTTGAGCTATCTTTTGACCATTTGGCAACTTTTCGCTTCGTAGCTGACGCGGTGACGGTTCCATCACACGGCTAGACATTTTGTTTACAATGAAATGGCGTGCTATGCGCATGCGCTAGTAGAGGGAAATCCATGAACAAAACGTTGGTCAGACAGGTAGAAATCCCGATGATTATCTTAAAATTATTCATTTTTATGAATATATATCAGCCAAATCTTATGAAGTATTTGAGGAAAAAAAAGACAAACAAAATATACACTTACCGTGATGCCCCTTTAAAGGTAAAAATGAAAACAGCCTCAACCTATACGTCTAGATCTATCAGCCCATACCTAATTCCCCCAAATGGTTTAGCTCAACTCTCCTCTGACAAAACTTCAATACAGGTAGTGCAAGGATAACCTGTTAGGGTCAGGTAAAACAAAAACTAGGTGATCATTGACCAGACTGGACACGTGCTAATAACAATAGAGGGATATTTTATTATAACATATAATAAATATCATAATTATATTGTTTAGGTAAAAGTGAAATCAGTGATGTTTGGGCAACACCCTCAGGCCTACAGATATATTAGAACTGCTGGCTAGGGGAAGCAAGGTTCAACTTTTTAATGAGAAATTCATATACGAAATGGAGGAAAATCTTCAAATATATTTGGGTCAGAATGATTTTGGACACAGAAAAAAGGGTGTTGCTCAGGCCACTATAGTGTAACAACCCTGCACCCGCTGCTATATTTAATACTTTATATTGATACGGATTAATTTGATCTTATTCGAGTTAATAAGGCTTTATGACTTGTGCAACGTACATTTAACAGAAATGTAAATAACATGTATGCTATTTTCATTTCTTAATTTTACAATTTTTTGTAAATACACTGGAGAGGGTAAATTATCCGATGTATCAGTCACCTAGGAAACTGCTAATGATCTGTTGTATCAGTAACACAGGAGAGTGTAAATACATCGGAGAGTGTAAATTGTCTTAAGTATCAATAGTATAGGAAACTTCAAATGGTCTTTAGTATCAGTAACCTAGGGAGCGGTCAGGAATTTAGAATTAGTTATCTAGGAGGGCGTAATTGTCTGTAGTATCAATAACCTAGTGACATGGACATGATCCTGAGTATCAGTTACCTAGGAGATTGTCAGTGATATCTACTATCAGTAACCTAGAAAACTGCAAATGATCTTTTGTATCAGTAACATAGGAGAGTGCAAATGATCCTTTGTTTCAGATACCTAGAAGAATTTTGATGATCACAAGTATCAGAAACCTAAAGTGTAAAATATTTCTAGTATCTGTAACTTTGAAGAGTGTAAATGATTTATAGTATTAGTTACCTAGGAGAGAGTAAATGATCTAATTCATCAGTCACATAGAAACTGCAAATTATCTTTTGTATCAGTAACATAGGAGAGTGTAAATACATTGGAGATTGTAAAAGATCTTTTGTATCAGTAACCAAAGAAACTGAAAATCGTTTTTAGTATCAGTGACCTAAGAGAGTATACATGTACATTATCTCTAGTATCAGTAACCTTGGAGAATATAAATGATCTTGAGTATCTATCATCTAGTAAACTTCAAATGATCTTTAATATGAGTGACTCAGGAAACTACAAATGATCTTTTGTATCAGTAACCGAAGAAACTGAAAATCCTTTTTAGTATCAGTGACCGAAGAGAGTGTACAATATCTCTAGTATCAGTAACCTTGGAGAATATAAATGATCTTGAGTATCCATCATCTAGTAAACTTCAAATGATCTTTAATATGAGTGACTCAGGAAACTGCAAATGATCTTATGTATCGGCCACCTAGGACAAATGAAAAGGATATTTAGTATCAGTAACATAGGTGAGTGAAATGTATTTCTAGTATCAGTAACCTTGGAGATAATAACTGATCTTATGTATCAGTAACCTAAGAAAATGCAAATGATCTGTAGTATCAGGAACCAAGGAAACTCCAAGGGATCTTTAATGTCAGAAACCTAGAAAACTGCAAATGATCTTTAGTATCAGTAACCTAGGAAACTGTAAATGATCTTTAGTATCAGTAACCAAGGAAACTGTAAAAGGTCTTGAGTGTCAGTAACATAGGAAACTGCAAATGATCTTTCGTATCAATAACCTAAGAAACTGCAAATGATCTTTAGTATCAGTAAACTAGGAAACCAGTAACCTAGAAAAATGCTTATGATCTTTAATATCATTAACGTAGGAAACTGCATGTGATCTTTAGTATCAGTAACTCCAAATTATATATGGTATCAGTAACCTAGGAAACAAGTAACCTAGGATCATGATCTTTAATATGAGTGAATCAGGAAACTGGATAGGATCTTATGTATCGGTAACCTAGGAAAAATGAAAAGGATCTTTAGTATCAGTAACCTAGGAAACTGTAAAGGACCTTTTGTATCAGTAACTAAGGAATCTGACCCAGAGTTTCTACCAACATGTTCCAAACGAATCGTTATACAGATTGTTTACATGTTTTGATGACTCAGAATCCTTGAAGACTGGTTTCCTATGATACTGATACTATGACGTCATAGATAAAAGGCGGAAAAAAATGTATTAAAGTGTCCCGATTGTATTTCTGCAGTTTCAAGAGAGCTGCTTTGTCTTTTTATCTGATCTCTGAGAAGTGTCCTCAGAAAATCTGAATTATGAAGTAACTTTTTGAATAATATGAAAACCCATTTTATTTTATTTTGGGAGTTATCTTCTTTCAGCATCTGCCACTTCATTGGAACAGGAAAAAACGAAAGTGACGATGGGCTCAATATGGTCTCATGGTACCAGCATAGAGGAAGTAGATGGTCCAGACGTATCTAAATTAGATAGAAAAATTAAGATGATATGGAGACAAGATCGAATTCGCATTACCAAACAAGACAACGGACAGGTAGGAAGCAATTTCAATGGCTGGCGAAAACCTGTTTCGAAATTTGCTCGAAATGAAGGCATACTTGCTGAACACCTTCGAGAGAACGTTTACACAGGAGAATACGATATATCCGACGGGCTTTGGCAGAAATCCTGCGGAGTTGTAGATGAAATAACGCGATTCTTTCATGTAACACTGAAGAAAAACACTTCAAGGTATTATCCTTGCATCAGTTTTGGAGATTTTGTGAAGCAGGGTAGCTCTCGGGAGGGTTTGAAAATTGGACAACCCGACGAGTTTGATATGGTTCTTCCATTCACCATTGAAGGAGTTGATTTACACGCTGTTCCAGCTCTCGATAAAAACGGAGAGCTTATTCCGGCACACATGAAACTACAGATTTCAGATTACGCACAGATTCAGAATGTCAAGAAAGGAATCCTGTACCAATCGCTAAGAAAGAACGGCGTTTTTGAAACGTGTGGCTCTGATCTATTTCTTAACGCAATGTGCTTCCAGACGCGGGTTATATCATCCATCATGGAAACCACCATAGCAGAGATACAGAAAAAAATCGACGCAAAGAACAGGAATCAAGCTTGCTCTTTTACTCTCAGTAAAACCAGCGTGTTTCCTCCCACGTTTAGATTCAAAATAAAAATTAAAAGTGATGATGATTTTGATGAGCTCTCATATGGTCAAAATTTATTCTGTCAATTTGAAAGTCGCAGCGCTGCAGCTGCAACTCCAGTCTGGAACGCCTCGTACAAAGTAATTGAATTCGATATTGTGCCGGGGCTGCTACTACAAACCGATTCTGTCCCTAATCCAGACAGCTGGTGGTTTTCAATGACATGTAACAGATACGCCGTCATGAAGTGGATCCACAAAGGACGTTACGCAGATGATTATCCTGAGCCGAATCTGCTTTGGAGGGAAAGCTCATGTGGGTACGAGAAGCATATAATCGATGCCAGTAGTATGAACCAAAGTGACGTCTACATCCTGACAGCTTGTAGGATATTAAAGGCCTACTTAGACGGCTTGGGAAACTCCTCACAGCTATGTAGTCTTCTAACATCATACCATATCAAGAACATTGCGATCCACTGTATTCTTCTTCAGCTGCACGCTTCTGGCGTCAGGGTGGCTTTGGGATACCTAATTGCGTTCCTGGAGATAGGTCTTAAAATGGAGTTCTTGCCACATTATTTCTACGGAAATCCTTACATTTCCAGCATGTTTCCGACATTATCAGCCAACGCCAACCAGAGACGTCTCAACCTGTTTAGAAACATTCCTCATGACCACTTTGCACAAGCCATACTTTCACTGAGGCGGATGAAAGCCGATTTATACGGCTTGTTCACCGAATGTAGTTACCTTGGTAACCATCAGAGCATCGATTCCTTTCGGAAACTCTGCACTCTGTATGATGAAGACACAAGTGGCAGATGCCTGCTGATGTAAGTCTTAACTGATGCAGACATTGATTGGTAGCAATGCTCATCAAATAGGGAAAGACGGCTTTTGGACAAGGAAGTGTGCATGAGCATGAACAACTGATGAAGTTGATTCCNTAAGGAATCTGACCCAGAGTTTCTACCAACATGTTCCAAACGAATCGTTATACAGATTGTTTACATGTTTTGATGACTCAGAATCCTTGAAGACTGGTTTCCTATGATACTGATACTATGACGTCATAGATAAAAGGCGGAAAAAAATGTATTAAAGTGTCCCGATTGTATTTCTGCAGTTTCAAGAGAGCTGCTTTGTCTTTTTATCTGATCTCTGAGAAGTGTCCTCAGAAAATCTGAATTATGAAGTAACTTTTTGAATAATATGAAAACCCATTTTATTTTATTTTGGGAGTTATCTTCTTTCAGCATCTGCCACTTCATTGGAACAGGAAAAAACGAAAGTGACGATGGGCTCAATATGGTCTCATGGTACCAGCATAGAGGAAGTAGATGGTCCAGACGTATCTAAATTAGATAGAAAAATTAAGATGATATGGAGACAAGATCGAATTCGCATTACCAAACAAGACAACGGACAGGTAGGAAGCAATTTCAATGGCTGGCGAAAACCTGTTTCGAAATTTGCTCGAAATGAAGGCATACTTGCTGAAAACCTTCGAGAGAACGTTTACATAGGAGAATACGATATATCCGACGGGCTTTGGCAGAAATCCTGCGGGGTTGTAGATGAAATAACGCGATTCTTTCATGTTACACTGAAGAAAAAAACTTCAAGGTACTATCCTTGCCTCAGTTTTGGAGATTTTGTGAAGCAGGGTAGCTCTCGGGAGGGTTTGAAAATTGGACAACCCGACGAGTTTGATATGGTTCTTCCATTCACCATTGAAGGAGTTGATTTACACGCTGTTCCAGCTCTCGATAAAAACGGAGAGCTAATTCCGGCACACATGAAACTACAGATTTCAGATTACGCACAGATTCAGAATGTCAAGAAAGGAATCCTGTACCAATCGCTAAGAAAGAACGGCGTTTTTGAAACGTGTGGCTCTGATCTATTTCTTAACGCAATGTGCTTCCAGACGCGGGTTATATCATCCATCATGGAAACCACCATAGCAGAGATACAGAAAAAAATCGACGCAAAGAACAGGAATCAAGCTTGCTCTTTTACTCTCAGTAAAACCAGCGTGTTTCCTCCCACGTTTAGATTCAAAATAAAAATTAAAAGTGATGATGATTTTGATGAGCTCTCATATGGTCAAAATTTATTCTGTCAATTTGAAAGTCGCAGCGCTGCAGCTGCAACTCCAGTCTGGAACGCCTCGTACAAAGTAATTGAATTCGATATTGTGCCGGGGCTGCTACTACAAACCGATTCTGTCCCTAATCCAGACAGCTGGTGGTTTTCAATGACATGTAACAGATACGCCGTCATGAAGTGGATCCACAAAGGACGTTACGCAGATGATTATCCTGAGCCGAATCTGCTTTGGAGGGAAAGCTCATGTGGGTACGAGAAGCATATAATCGATGCCAGTAGTATGAACCAAAGTGACGTCTACATCCTGACAGCTTGTAGGATATTAAAGGCCTACTTAGACGGCTTGGGAAACTCCTCACAGCTATGTAGTCTTCTAACATCATACCATATCAAGAACATTGCGATCCACTGTATTCTTCTTCAGCTGCACGCTTCTGGCGTCAGGGTGGCTTTGGGATACCTAATTGCGTTCCTGGAGATAGGTCTTAAAATGGAGTTCTTGCCACATTATTTCTACGGAAATCCTTACATTTCCAGCATGTTTCCGACATTATCAGCCAACGCCAACCAGAGACGTCTCAACCTGTTTAGAAACATTCCTCATGACCACTTTGCACAAGCCATACTTTCACTGAGGCGGATGAAAGCCGATTTATACGGCTTGTTCACCGAATGTAGTTACCTTGGTAACCATCAGAGCATCGATTCCTTTCGGAAACTCTGCACTCTGTATGATGAAGACACAAGTGGCAGATGCCTGCTGATGTAAGTCTTAACTGATGCAGACATTGATTGGTAGCAATGCTCATCAAATAGGGAAAGACGGCTTTTGGACAAGGAAGTGTGCATGAGCATGAACAACTGATGAAGTTGATTCCTATTGAACAAGGGGACAAAACTAAAAATTGTAATGTATATTGCTACACGTGACTTATTACTACAAATGTAAATGTATGTGATTGTTTATTGTAGTATTATTTCACTAGCATGGGGGTATATTGTAGAATAATTATAACAGTAGATGGTGTATTGTTTAATTCAACTTGCAGATTATACATTGTTGTATACCTTTACTAGTAGGTGTAACATTGTCATATCGTTTTGCCAGTTGATGGTACATTGTATCTTCTCCCATCTCTTGGTATGAAAGACACACGTGCATCATGTGGAACATCACAATGCATGGGTGCACTCACTGACCTGTACTTTTATGACGTCACAATGAGATAACGGGATGTTGCTATGACGTCACAATTGAAAGTGCGTCAAAATAACGTTTGACTGACTGGCAATCCTGCCGTTTGCAAGTGACAACACCCTCAAGACAATATTTTGTGTAAAGGCTTGCCCTGTTTGTCATTCCACGGATGTTTTAATGGTATACTTATGGTATACCGTACTTTTTCTGCTCTTTCAAAATACAGTTTGTGTAATCGTTATTTTGTAACTTTGCCATATTTAGTGTTTTCTATGTACAGTTTTGCCAAACTTTCGGTTAGAACGTGGAAGAAAAAGCGGCAATTGTTATGTATGTATGAGGGATATGGATAATCGACCTTTTGGAGCAGAATTCCGTATAAGAACCTCAGCAAATCTTCGGTTCTGACCCATCTTCTATACCTTTAGGTAGGATATCAATATCCCACACACTTATATATGATAAACTCTGTTAATCATTTTACAATCAAATGTTATATTATAAACACTAGTAGGTGGTATGTTATGGTACCGTTATACTGGTTGATGATATATATTGTATTATAACTTTACTAGTAGGGGTATTGTGAATATAGTGTTGCCAATATATGGAGTATTGTATGATTTTACAAATAAATAGTGTATTGTATAATTTTATAAATAGAAAGTGTATAGTAGTTTACCTCACTATCATGCACATAAATAGGATAGAAATGCCACAACCAAAGGAACATGTTTATGTACAAACAAATAATGTACACAAAAATGTGATCTATCGCTCCTAACTGTACATAACTTACATATGATGTTCTTACATAGCTTACCGATTTCTTTGATAGAGATGTTTAGTTGCCATCTTGTGACAAAATATCAATTTCTTTAGTTCTGACCCAATTTTGGAATTGGTCATGCTATTTGGAACAGCGCATCACGGATTTGTTAATACTGAAAGTATTTAACTTGGAAAGATTATTTATATGACCACAATAAATGAAGATCAATTACTTTAACTGGAAAATGTAATTCAGCACAATAGATTGAAATGACGTCAAACTTTGAAAAATGGACTGTCCGTTCGAATTTGCCATACAGAACTATATATACAGCAGAAAGCACGATCAAAAGTCGGCTAATTTTTCACGCTAGATTATTGTTGTCATCAGATCTCGCGGAGTGGCGGCGGTCGCCTCCTGTGTATGTAGTTGCTTATATCGCTTAATGGAATCTGAAAATTCAAATCAAATGGAAGCCAACACGGACGGAATTCAGTTTTTCATCTTGAAATGAAATTCAAAAAATACCAACGGTAAACATTGATAGTATATTAGCGAAATAATAAAATAAAATGTCATCAGTTTGACAAGAGGCTTAAACTGTGATATTTTGCCAGATTATGAAAACAAAAGATAATTAGAATTAGACAATAATGTATGATTTCAATTATTATTGGAAATAAAGGCTTATCTATCAGAGCACCTGGGAGTGTGACCTTTTTGTTGATTAACAATGCCTGCCTGTCAATGCTAATTGCTTCTCTATCCTGAAATGATTTGGTGTAGACTTTGTGTTCGAATCATCCAAATGTATGAACACTGTTGGAGCTATTTTTGCTCTATTTAAAAGTTATGACTTTCTTAGCTGCAGTGTGACAACAGTATAAGTTTCAATATATAGACTTTGTTGACACAGGGCTTGGTGTGTTCGGTTTCCTTTCCAATAACCTAAATGGAGTTCTGGATGGATGCTTCAGTTTTTAGTATACCCGATAACCTACGTTGAGTTCGAGATGTAGGCTTCAGTTTCTAGCATGCCCGATTACAAAAGTAATGTTCCGGATGGAATCTTCTGTTTTGAGCATGCCCCATAACTAAAGTGGAGTTAGGGATGTATGCTTCAGTTGTTTTAGTATACCCGATAATCCAAATGGATTGAAGGATGTAGGCTTCAGATTTTAGTATACCCTATAAACAAAGTGGAGTTAGGGATGTAGATTTCAGTTTTTAGTATACCCGATAAACAAAATGGAGCTAGAAATGTAGATTTCGGTTTTTAGGGTATCCGATAACCAAAGTGAAGTTTGGGATGAAGGCTTCAGTTTTTAGCATGCTTTATAAGGAAAGTAATGTTCGGAATGCAGGCTCCAGTTTCTACCGTGGTTGATAACCAAAGAAGAGTTAGGAATGCAGGCTTCTAGTATGCCCGATAGCCAAAGTTGAGATCGGGATGGTGCTACGAAACGTTTAGCGTGCCGGATCATTTAAAGCAGAACTATTGTATACTTACACAAGTCTATTGTATAGTTACACAAAATGAATTCTATAGTTACACAAAAAAATGTATAGTTACACAAATTAATTGTATAGTTACACACAAAACATTTTTTTTTTTTATAATTGTATCCTTTATTTGATAAATAATGCATATTTTACCATTTTGAACAAATACAGATTTTATGGTGAAAAACTGTTTTGAAAAACGAGACGCATGACACCGAAAGGAAGCATACTCCCTTAAAAGTTACAGAAAAAAATATACACACAGAATTTAACATTATATTAGCTTCTGACATGCTTGTTTTAAATGATGTTAGACTCTGAATAACTTAGACACTTTACTTCTCATTCACAGGACGTATAAGTGTATAGACGCCTGCGTTCACAGGAAAACGAGAAGCCTGTTTTGACATTTAACAGATGAAATTTAGGTGTTAAAATTTAATGAGGTATATTGTAAATGTTTTCAACCCCAGCCCGATGTGGTAGGATATCTGATCACTGCGTTAAGTGGTACTGGCCTTTTTCACTTGCTCTTGCCAAAAAAATGTTACGATGCATTCAAAATTATCAGAGCAAGGTGAAAGTGAAAAACTCATTGGTAATTTAGACTGAAATATCTTATTAGTACCAGAATATATGAATATACATCCCTACGTAGACCATGAATAGGGTAAGACAACGTCAGATAAACACACTGTAACACTGTAACACATTGTATATCTATGATTCGTATTTATAGTGTTACAAATGGACATGTTTAAATATTGTAACTGCGGTAATAAAACTATTTTTAAAAATATGCAACTTAATTTCTTCATTTACCATTCATAGTACGACCTTCAGGAGGGTAAAAATCGATTTATAATATTCCATTCGTTACATTGATGTTTATAGGTGATATGTAACATATGAGGTGTGCGATAGGAGGGAAGCGATATAGAAATTACACAGAATATATGCAGTGACGTGAATTAGTGAAATAAAAAAAACCTGCATTAGTAAACAAAGAAATAATAAAAAGGACATGGCGAACCATCAACAATGGAAACCAATTTCAAGACATCGAAGGAAAAGGAGTTATCATGCACCTATTTAGCAATTGAAGGTAATACTATGTCCTCCAGAATAGTAATAGTTTATAGCACCACATATAGCAGCCGTCGTGATCTTTAATGGCGGTATTCTTTACGGTCAGCACGGTCAGTCCAACTCTAAGCCAGCGGTGTCGTAAAGGCTTTGTCTATAACTAACTGACCACATAATACATTTCCTGTACCGCATCTCGTTTAAAACTTGCACACATTATTCTGCTTTCCCTATCTTTATTGGATTGTCAGTTCATGTATTAGTGATTTAAAATGACAATTTAACGATTTGCTAAATTGTCCTCAACTTCTATTGGGATAGTGTTTTTTTTTTATTTACACAATATTATATTTTTTTTGTGATTCATATCCGATACACCCTGGCACATACAAAATTCGAGACATTCGAGACTGATTTTTTTCTAAATCGTTTGTAAATTTATGAGCATTGCATTCTTGAAAATCACTTCTATTTCTAGACGTATATAGTTTCGTGTTCATTTGCACATTTCAATATTTAGCGATCGTTAAACAGACTCACTGCTTGTACATCATTTATTTTATCAATGAAAGTGTATATTCCTTTTTATAATTGTTGCTTTTGATCGTTCAAATCATCGCAAATGCCTTTATCTGCAAAAATAACTTAATTACTTAATTGCATATCATTCCTCTTCCCTATCTATATATCGTTAAAAGATAAAACAGCGAAGAGTAAACAAAAAGTTGAACTCAAAATCGATGACACTGGAAGAAATTATGAACAAATGAGAACTGATATAGATAATAGTGTAAACTTATAAACTCAATATCACTTTTCTTTGATACCATTGTTTACGCTCTTATGTCTAGGGACACATAAAGAATTTAGATACAGGTAAAAGCAAAATAAATGAGATGAACATTTGTGTAAAAAAACTAATTAAACCAGGCCATGTATGAAATTACTATATTCAACTTAATTACCCATCCAACCGGGTTAATCATCAGAAGAAATTGTTTTGGTAATTATAGATGTTAACTGACACGAATAAAATATGGTTTAGACATAACTGAACTAAATTAAATTATAAAATAAATACGAACATTATAACTCTTAAAACAAGAACATTAAATTTATCCTTTTCAATCATTCCTATTCTTCATAGAGCCAAATACAAAACCATTATCAACACTGTGTTTTAATAAATTCGCGATGACATGAATTATATTATTATTATAATATCTATATTGTAATGGATATAAATTAATAAGTAAGCTTATTTTGCAATTAAATTACGGATATCTAATAATCTTATAAACATCAACACCGATTACGAAACTAAAACGGAGACTTATGACAGCATGCCTACATTTATAAAGAGACGTTTTGTTCGCATTTCCAATATTTCTCTGTCTATTGAGGGGTAAACAATTATTATCAATTTCAGATAAGCATACATGTAATTGTAATATTGTTTACTAGCTCTAATACCTCAAAGTGTGTTTTTTCATATAGTGTGCAAAGAATTCTGGACTTTGTTATAAATAATAATCAAATGGAAACCATTTCCTTTTAACTCATTTAATGTCTCCAACAATCTACGATATAAGTAGCTTAAATAAACCAATTAACCAGATTTGATCTCAAACACGATTAGGAAAATTACAAAAATAGGAAAAACAAACGGAAAGATACCCACGAAAAAATATCGAAGGAGAAACAAGTTACTCTGGAAATAGGGAGTTATGTGTGACACACGATGAACATAGCTTTCATCGTGAAAGTAATCATAATCACAGAACATAAATAATTGACGATGTATAATTATTGACCGGCATAAAAGGGTGTATGGTTACTATCACAGGAAATGTGAAAGGGGACATGTTTGAAAAAGGAATTCAACCCCAACATCCTAGTATATTCATTGGAGGCGGAGGCTTTGGAGTTACAAACCTTGGGTAGTAATTATGTCTGCACACTGAAATGAGATGACAGCCTGTACTGTTCGGTGAAATAGTGTGTTACCTACTCCGAGTTAGTCAAGGATTTGTTGTAGACTTTCGAAAATGACCGAGCTGTGTAATATGGGCATAATAATCCCCGAAAGTCATAACTGGTTGAGAAAGATCCGTTTGACTGAGAGATCATTATAGTAAATGAATAAAGTATGCAAGAGTTATCTTTCTTCAATTAAAAAAAAAAGCTTGATAATTTAAAAAAAGTTAGAAATATCAAATGACACATAATATTGATCATGTTGATATCTTATCAGTACACATAATTTAGCCGATATTTAACTTTTCCTATCATATAATGTAACGTGTTACATACCAGAAATCGAAACCGATCGAAACTAACAGACTGGTTTCCAAGTATTTCATAAATTTACCCATAATCCATAACTCTTTGTTTGCGTATTGTTATGGTGAGTTACACGTCACTCTCGTACCAGGTAAGATATGTAACGGATATACCTAGACGGAACAGGGTGTGTATTAAGTGAACTTTGTCAAGAACTGGATTGTGTTTCTGGAAGAAATATAGACTTTAACAAAACCAGGTAGAGAATTGTAACGTATATGTATTTCGCATTTTCGATTCATAATAATTGGTTTGATCTGATTCGAGTTGAAAAGGCTTAAGGTATTTCAAACAGTGTCAGCATATATAGTATGTGATGGGCTAATAACTTTTCCTCAAAATGAAAAAAATATGGAAGTTGGTTTGTATACCAATGTCAAGAAAAATGTCAATAATTTGTTGAAAATAGTGTTGCTTTTGTCTGAAAAGTAACTTTTGAATGCAGAATTTGCGTGGCGCAAAATTGAATTGAGTATTATGATTCATGAAAAAAATTACCTATCCATGCATTCCTGAAGTATCCGTGTATTCACTATTATCAAGAAAAATGTTAGAAAATGTGTCAAATCTCCAGAATAATGGCATATATTTCAACTGAATAAATCACAACTGAGCACAAAGCCAACAAGGCTGACTGAGGTTGGACAAAACATGCAAAGCAAGTGAGAACTTACCTGTACATCATTCAAAACACTACAGGTTCTCACTCAGGTAAATATAGATTGACTTGTATTAATAGCCTTGATAGCTTCATGAATTGTTGTAAAACATCCGATTAAAATACATGCCACCATTCTTGTCATTTAAATGTGAAATACACCTGTGGTTCGGTCCTGAAAAACGATATCTTAAATAATCGATAGTCTGCACAATTGTTGTACACACTAGATCAACAATGGCCATGTCTGTGCTGTTTTTAATGTTGGGCACTTGACTCAGGATTTTGAAATGTGGCAAACGTGAATAGAGACACAGCAAGGATTTGTTTTAACAACAGGCTGAGTGTAAACACTGGGTCATTCTGTTTACAACCCAAATGTACAGCACTGTTACCCATAATATTACGTATCACAGCGATCAATATTTACTAAAAAACCAAAGTCATTAACTCATCCTAAAATCTGAAACGTTATCAAAGACACGAATGTGTCCTTCAAAGCAGTCAGTGGGAAATCCGGTTTGTCTGTACGTTATAATCATAACGATCCATCTACACCATAAAATTACACAGGGCAATATTGAAGCCGTAGAAGTTTTCAAATAAGAATTGTGCTATGCGTAGAATATTTGTATGGAAGGGAAAATCGTAACATAGTGTAAATATTATATTAAACGACACACAAGAGTGAAAATCTTAAAAAAAAAATACGACACACGTTAGAGAGTGTAACTCTTATAAATGCGACACAACTAAGATAGTGTAAATCTAATATAAAACGACACAGCTAAGATAGTGTAAATCTAATATAAAACGACACAGTTAAGATAGTGTAAATCTGATATGATACGACACACGACAGAGTTTAAATCGTATAAAATACGGCTCAGGTTAGAGTGTAAATCTTATAAAAAATACGACACACGTAAAAGTAGGTAGTATTGCTATAAAAGCAGTATGTTGGTGACTTTTAGTAGCATGCTGTAACCTAGGAAACTGCAAATGATCTCTAGTTTCAGTAACCAAGGAAACTGCAAATTATATTTAGTATCAGTGACCTAGGAAACTGCAAACCATATTTAGTTTATATAATAAATAATATGAAGTTTTTGGCGGAAAAAAGTTGTCACAATGGGACCAGATTGTAATTTTATATTTTCTAGAGAGATGATTTGTCTTTGTTTGCTGAAATCTGAAATCTGTAGTAATTTGACGCTCCTTGAATATTAGGAAAACGTATTTGATTATATTTTTGTGTTTATATTCTTTCAGCATCTGCAAATTCACTGGTACGGAAAATAAAGAACGTAACGATGGACTCAACATTGTATTATGGTACCAGCATAGATGCAGTAGATAGAAATGTTGCAGGAATATGGAGGCAGGGGTTACTCAACACCACGCCATACTACGGACAGGTAGGAAGCAATTTTAATGACTGGCGAAAACCTGTTTCGAAATTTGCTCTAAAAGAAGACGACCTTGCTCAACGCCTTCGAAAAAACGTATACATAGGAGAATACGATATATCGGACGAACTTTGGCAGAAATCCTGCGGTGTTGTAGATGAAATAACGCGATTCTTTCATGTCACACTGAAGAAAGTAGCTTCAAGGTATTATCCTGGCCTCAGTTTTGGAGATTTTGTGAAGCAGGGTAGTTCTCGGGAGGGTTTGAAAATTCGACACCCCGACGAGTTTGATATGATTCTTCCATTCACCATTGAAGGAGTTAACATACACGCTGTTCCAGCTCTCGATAAAAACGGACAGCTAATTCCGGCACACATGAAACTACAGATTTCAGATTATGCACAGATTCAGAATGTCATTTATGGCAGCCAGTATCAATCGCTGAAAATTAACGGCGTATTTGAAAATTGTGGCACTGATCTGGTTCTCAACGCAATGTGCTTCCAGACGCGGGTTATATCATCCATCATGGATACCACCATAGCAGAGATACAGAAAGAAATCGACGCGAAGAACAGGAGTCGAGTTTGTTTTTTTACACTCAGTAAAACAAGCGTGTTTCCGCCAACGTATAGATTTAAAATAACATTAGAAAGTGTTGCTGGTTTTGATGAACTCACTCATGCTCAAACTGTGTTCTCGTCATGTCAAGCTTCCAGGAGAGTGGTGTATGGAGAAGCTGCATCTCCAGTGTGGAACGCTATGCACAAAGAGATTGAATTCGATATTGTGCCGGGGCTGCTGCTGCGCATCGATTCCGTCCCTAATTCGGACGGCATGTTTTTTTATTACAAATGATAGATACGCCGTCATGAAGTGGATCCACAAAGGACGTTACGCGGATGATTATCCTGAGCCGAATCTGCTTTGGAGGGAGAGCACGTGCGGGTACGAGAAGGATATACTCGTTGACCGTAGTGGGGATGAAAGTGACGTCTACATCCTGACAGCTTGTAGGATATTAAAGGCCTACTTAAACGGCTGGGGTAACTCCTCACAACTATGTAGTCTTCTTTCGTCATACCACATCAAGAACATCGCGATCCACTGTATTCTTCTGAAGCTGCGCGTTTCTGGCGTCAAGGAAGGTTTGGGTTACCTCATTGCGTTCCTGGAGATAGGTCTTGAAATGGAGTTCTTGCCACATTATTTCTACGGAAATCCTAACATTTCCAAAATGTTTCCAGAATTATCAGAAAACGCTAACCAGAGACGTCTCAACCTGTTCAGAAAAATCCCTCATGACCATTTTGCACAGGCCATACTTTCACTGAGACGGATGAAAGCCGTTTTACACGATTTGTTTACCGAAAGTAGTCACCTTGGTAACCACCGGATAATCGACTCCTTCAGAAACCTTTGCTCTGAAACCACAAGTGGCAGTCGGGTGCTGGTGTGAGTCCTTGCTCGTGCAGACATTGATTAGTAGTCATGCTCATCATATAGGGAAAGAATTCTTTTGGACAAGGACATTTGCATGAGCATGAACAACTGATGATGTTGATTCATATTGAACAATTTTGAACAAGGGAACGAAAACTGAAACCCGCAATTTTCTCGTGCCTTCATTTGATGTCTGATTTTTAAAAATATGTATCATCAAATTGTGTTAAGGTTTCCTTAAGCTGAAGTGATACACATTCTCGAATCAGTATCACACTGTATACATCCTCACGGGGTGTACTAGTTGTATCATCATCTTAGCAGGTGATATATAACTGTTTCTGTTGATATGTTCATTGTATATTGTAGTATTACATTACGAGTAAGTAGCATAGTGAAATATGCTATGGACAAATTGCCATCAAGGATTCAAATGAAGTTCGATGTTATAGATTATAATCATAAATGTGTCTTGTAGTTTTGTTGAACTACCCGAGTTTCCGATGTGAGGACATACAGTTACGTGGATGTGACCTATATTTACGTGGTGGGTGTCATGTCATGATACATTGTGACGTCACAATACAACCTACCAAAATTGACGCCAAAATAAACAAGCCACTTTGAAGTCGTCATTTGAGGAACAACAAAGGACAACAAAAAAAAACAGATACATGTACATAGTTGATGCATGATTATAGCAACAGACAAACATTTTCTTTGTTTTTCATACAACGATCTGTGTTGTTAGAACAATTTAACCAGATCTTAATATGTTGATTAACATTGATTCGTTTGACTCTCTTTATACAATTTCTTCTGTAGCTTGATATAGATATATACATTGCTGAAAGTTGTTTAATATTGATAATTAATATTTGCATTTCCCAATTGCATAAAAAAACCTGTACATATTCGGTATTGGTGGAGATTCATTTATCATTGTTTACCGATTTTCTCCTATCTCTTCGTAAATGAAATTAAATTATCCAACCTATCATGCATATACAAAGGATAAAAATATGGGTTCATATTTTGAGGCAAAATCCGAGTTTTGTCGAGGGATTTAAAACCAAATTATGTACACGAAAATATGTTATTTTGCTCCTTAATGTACATAATTTACATATAACTGAGTTATTTTCTTGCATCGCTCACCGATTTATTTGATAGAGATGTTTAGGAGCCATCTTGTGACAAAATTGCAATTTCTTTAGTTCTGACCCAATTTTAAAATTGTTCATTCTACTGGGGACAGCGCATCACGGTTTGGTTCATACTGAAAGTATTTTACTTGGGCAAATCATTGATTTACACGGCTTGTTCACCGAATGTAATCACCTTGGTAACTGTCAGAGTTTCGGTTTCTTCAGAAACCTCTGCACTCTGTATGATGAAGACACAAGTGGCAGATGCCTGCTGATGTAACTGATGCAGACATTGATTGGTAGCCATGCTCATCAGATAGGGAAAGATGGCTTTTGGACAAGGAAGTGTGCATGAGCATGAACAACTGATGAAGTTGATTCCTATTGAACAAGGGGACAAAACTAAAAATTGTAATGTATATTGCTACACGTGACTTATTACTACAAATGTAAATGTATGTGATTGTTTATTGTAGTATTATTTCACTAGCATGGGGGTATATTGTAGAATAATTATAACAGTAGATGGTGTATTGTTTAATTCAACTTGCAGATTATACATTGTTGTATACCTTTACTAGTAGGTGTAACATTGTCATATCGTTTTGCCAGTTGATGGTACATTGTATCTTCTCCCATCTCTTGGTATGAAAGACACACGTGCATCATGTGGAACATCACAATGCATGGGTGCACTCACTGACCTGTACTTTTATGACGTCACAATGAGATAACGGGATGTTGCTATGACGTCACAATTGAAAGTGCGTCAAAATAACGTTTGACTGACTGGCAATCCTGCCGTTTGCAAGTGACAACACCCTCAAGACAATATTTTGTGTAAAGGCTTGCCCTGTTTGTCATTCCACGGATGTTTTAATGGTATACTTATGGTATACCGTACTTTTTCTGCTCTTTCAAAATACAGTTTGTGTAATCGTTATTTTGTAACTTTGCCATATTTAGTGTTTTCTATGTACAGTTTTGCCAAACTTTCGGTTAGAACGTGGAAGAAAAAGCGGCAATTGTTATGTATGTATGAGGGATATGGATAATCGACCTTTTGGAGCAGAATTCCGTATAAGAACCTCAGCAAATCTTCGGTTCTGACCCATCTTCTATACCTTTAGGTAGGATATCAATATCCCACACACTTATATATGATAAACTCTGTTAATCATTTTACAATCAAATGTTATATTATAAACACTAGTAGGTGGTATGTTATGGTACCGTTATACTGGTTGATGATATATATTGTATTATAACTTTACTAGTAGGGGTATTGTGAATATAGTGTTGCCAATATATGGAGTATTGTATGATTTTACAAATAAATAGTGTATTGTATAATTTTATAAATAGAAAGTGTATAGTAGTTTACCTCACTATCATGCACATAAATAGGATAGAAATGCCACAACCAAAGGAACATGTTTATGTACAAACAAATAATGTACACAAAAATGTGATCTATCGCTCCTAACTGTACATAACTTACATATGATGTTCTTACATAGCTTACCGATTTCTTTGATAGAGATGTTTAGTTGCCATCTTGTGACAAAATATCAATTTCTTTAGTTCTGACCCAATTTTGGAATTGGTCATGCTATTTGGAACAGCGCATCACGGATTTGTTAATACTGAAAGTATTTAACTTGGAAAGATTATTTATATGACCACAATAAATGAAGATCAATTACTTTAACTGGAAAATGTAATTCAGCACAATAGATTGAAATGACGTCAAACTTTGAAAAATGGACTGTCCGTTCGAATTTGCCATACAGAACTATATATACAGCAGAAAGCACGATCAAAAGTCGGCTAATTTTTCACGCTAGATTATTGTTGTCATCAGATCTCGCGGAGTGGCGGCGGTCGCCTCCTGTGTATGTAGTTGCTTATATCGCTTAATGGAATCTGAAAATTCAAATCAAATGGAAGCCAACACGGACGGAATTCAGTTTTTCATCTTGAAATGAAATTCAAAAAATACCAACGGTAAACATTGATAGTATATTAGCGAAATAATAAAATAAAATGTCATCAGTTTGACAAGAGGCTTAAACTGTGATATTTTGCCAGATTATGAAAACAAAAGATAATTAGAATTAGATAATAATGTATGATTTCAATTATTATTGGAAATAAAGGCTTATCTATCAGAGCACCTGGGAGTGTAACCTTTTTGTTGATTAACAATGCCTGCCTGTCAATGCTAATTGCTTCTCTATCCTGAAATGATTTGGTGTAGACTTTGTGTTCGAATTCATCCAAATGTATGAACACTGTTGGAGATATTTTTGCTCTATTTAAAAGTTATGACTTTCTTAGCTGCAGTGTGACAACAGTATACGTTTCAATATATAGACTTTGTTGACACAGGGCTTGGTGTGTTCGGTTTCCTTTCCAATAACCTAAATGGAGTTCTGGATGGATGCTTCAGTTTTTAGTATACCCGATAACCTACGTTGAGTTCGAGATGTAGGCTTCAGTTTCTAGCATGCCCGATTACAAAAGTAATGTTCCGGATGGAATCTTCTGTTTTGAGCATGCCCCATAACTAAAGTGGAGTTAGGGATGTAGGCTTCAGTTTTTTAGTATACCCGATAATCCAAATGGATTGAAGGATGTAGGCTTCAGATTTTAGCATACCCTATAAACAAAGTGGAGTTAGGGATGTAGATTTCAGTTTTTAGTATACCCGATAAACAAAACGGAGCTAGAAATGTAGATTTCGGTTTTTAGGGTATCCGATAACCAAAGTGAAGTTTGGGATGAAGGCTTCAGTTTTTAGCATGCTTTATAAGGAAAGTAATGTTCGGAATGCAGGCTCCAGTTTCTACCGTGCTTGATAACCAAAGAAGAGTTAGGAATGCAGGCTTCTAGTATGCCCGATAGCCAAAGTTGAGATCGGGATGGTGCTACGAAACGTTTAGCGTGCCGGATCATTTAAAGCAGAACTATTGTATACTTACACAAGTCTATTGTATAGTTACACAAAATGAATTCTATAGTTACACAAAAAAAATGTATAGTTACACAAATTAATTGTATAGTTACACACAAAACATTTTTTTTTTTTTTTTATATAATTGTATCCTTTATTTGATAAATAATGCATATTTTACCATTTTGAACAAATACAGATTTTATGGTGGATAACTATTTTGAAAAACGAGACGCATGACACCGAAAGGAAGCATACTCCCTTAAAAGTTAAAAAGCGTGCCCCACATAAGTTTTATCATAAGGGTGATGCAAACCAGATTGGGAGAGTCAAGATTCTGAATGTTGGTATTCTCGCTGCCCCAAATTTATATTACATTTACAGAAAAAAATATACACACAGAATTTAACATTATATTAGCTTCTGACATGCTTGTTTTAAATGATGTTAGACTCTGAATTTAAAATAACTTAGACACTTTACTTCTCATTCACAGGACGTATAAGTGTATAGACGCCTGCGTTCACAGGAAAACGAGAAGCCTGTTTTGACATTTAACAGATGAAATTTAGGTGTTAAAATTTAATGAGGTATATTGTAAATGTTTTCAACCCCAGCCCGATGTGGTAGGATATCTGATCACTGCGTTAAGTGGTACTGGCCTTTTTCACTTGCTCTTGCCAAAAAAATGTTATGATGCATTCAAAATTATCAGAGCAAGGTGAAAGTGAAAAACTCATTGGCAATTTAGACTGAAATAACTTATTAGTATCAGAATATATGAATATACATCCGTACGTAGACCATGAATAGGGTAAGACAACGTCAGATAAACACACTGTAACACATTGTATATCTATGATTCGTATTTATAGTGTTACAAATGGACATGTTTAAATATTGTAACTGCGGTAATAAAACCATTTTTAAAAATATGCAACTTAATTTCTTCATTTACCATTCATAGTACGACCTTCAGGAGGGTCAAAATCGATTTATAATATTCCATTCGTTACATTGATGTTTATAGGTGATATGTAACATATGAGGTGTGCGATAGGAGGGAAGCGATATAGAAATTACACAGAATATATGCAGTGACGTGAATTAGTGAAATAAAAAAAACCTGCATTAGTAAACAAAGAAATAATAAAAAGGACATGGCGAACCATCAACAATGGAAACCAATTTCAAGACATCGAAGGAAAAGGAGTTATCATGCACCTATTTAGCAATTGAAGGTAATACTATGTCCTCCAGAATAGTAATAGTTTATAGCACCACATATAGCAGCCGTCGTGATCTTTAATGGCGGTATTCTATAACACAGGGACTTGAGTTTAATCGTCAGAAAATAAAAAATAAAATCGAAAAAAACAAGAACAAAAACAAAACAAACAAACAAAAAAGCAAAGGGCCGGTCCTGATCCTGATACCTAGTACCTGAACCTAACTCTGATAATTTTTTTTTTTTTTTTTTTTTTATCAATATTGATTTTACCAATCAGGTTCGGGCCGGGTCAATTATCTTCTTTTTTTCCCCTTATGGCTAAGCACAAGTAACTGTGACTGTTTTAAGGATTAGCGTTTAAAGTGGAACCCCATTTCTAAACTGATTTGTGCTGAATTACCAGATCTGAGACACTTTATACAGCTTCTTGTGGAATTGCAGATCAACCGCAGATAAGGGTAGATGAACGTTATTTAAACGCCATTCATTTTGTTGATAAATTCTTAATTTTTAATGTGAAGTTACCAGTTAGGCTGCTGGAAGGGAGGAAACTCTTAAAGTATTCCTAGTTTTTTGGATTAGTAAAGTTTAAAGGGAGATAACTTTTATCAACACACATCATTGATGTAGTGCCCCATCGTAAATATAAGTATTCAATACTGTGTTATTTTGAACAGTACATCGACAATAAAATGTAGCCCTATGTAACTCTAGTAGACTCTATTATGTATTGAGCTGGATGTGTTCATTATGGTCAACGGTGGTGAAAAGATTAATGTCAATTACTTAATTTTCAGGAGTTATTCCATATTATGGTTAGTAATGAAATTTTTATAAAACTATCGACATCAACACTAGTTTAAATATTATGGATTTAAAGTAAGCATGACCACAGAAAGAGAAAATGGATACATAATACCGACAAAGCACAATGAAAATATATTTACGGCAGTATACACAAAGACACAACGTTAGATAAGAACAAAAATATTAAGACAAAAAACGGACAACCCAAAATAAAAGTAAAGAACCATTTCTTTGCCGACTTTCCTCCCCTCTCTTAGTCCTTTATTTATCGATAATACGGCTCAACTAAGATTTTTTCAAAAAGACAAAATAGCTGTAAGTCGTTCTTTGCATACCGTATCTATTACCATTTTTTTTAAAGAAGACAGGAATTATGTCGAATTTAAGAATTAGCAGTAGTAAATACGGTGCAAATAAAAGATATGTTAAAGCAGCCTTTCCCACTGCAGGCAAAAGACTGTAAACCTCTCCCCAGTGTCGTTTTAGGTATAACTGTAGCACAGGGTCGGTTTCCTTGACCAGGTATCTTAGTAGGTTAAAGATATGGTGTGACAATTTGAGGTCCAGAGTTTGAAATTTACACTCAAAACACTGTTGTTGATAATAGTTTTTCCTAAATCACTTTTCATAAAAATCCCCAAGGTATGGTTTTCTTTAGAGAAATGATTTACCAAAGTTATAGTCATGCTGGTGGAAAACACCGTTCCCAGTGCATAGTAACAGGTTTGACAGTGGTACGGAGTTCCGTAAATAAACTACAGATTGGGTAAGCATACAACAAATAATGTTGATTTACCGTAGTCACCAAGCTACTGTAACAGCAAATTTAGTGTTTGATAAGGAACGAAAAAAAAATCTTATTGTTACCTTTTAACAGGAAAACTGTTGCGCAAATATGACAAATGGTATTATTAATTACATCCTATCATCAAAACTACTTTGTTAATTGTATCAGAAAGTATAATCATTACAATTAATTATTACAGATCGCATTATACTTATTTTTGCGTAAGTTTACGTTACGTATGAAATACGAGTATCTCGGAGACAATTTGTAATGTAAGATCCGTTTCACTTACCTCAGATGACGCCGCCAGTAACGACAGTATCAACACAATATACCTGTGCGAATCTCAAAACACCGAATAGTTATCCCTTATTTACTGTAAATTACTTAATTATACATTGAGTAAAACGTGAATTTAATTTGTTTTCTTGCAATTTAAATAAAGTATCGGCCGATAGTTCCTATCTCAATGCCAGTAAATATAAGTACAAGCGAAATTAGAAATGGACCAATAAAACGACATTATTAGCCGATTGCACAGCATTTTGAAACGTAAGAAATAATCCAAGATCAATATTTTCAAAATATCAATCACACATGTGCTTAGAAGACAACGAAATCTCAACAATTGGGGTAATATTTTTCAGGTGAAAAAGTCGACAAATTCTCACTCATTCTTGACCTAAACAAATACCCTCGTGTTAAAATGTTGAAATAATTCAAAAAGTGATGATTTAATAGTTAAGGACAAACAACAGATACATAGTGTACAACCATAAATAATAGAATTTGTAGATGTTAGATACAATCTGCAAAAATGACAGGCCACGACACTATTAAAATAGGTAATCGTTTCCTTCATGTCGTACACTCAGTAGTTCAATACGTGTGAAACCGTTTTTTCATTAACACAATTTTGATACCTAACTGGCGTTTTAAAAGTTTAAATGAAGTTTGTAAAGTTAACAATGATTAAATACACCGAAATGATTTTAAAGCAGCTCCAGAACATCTATATTTCAGCCACTGCTTTTAGAATTAATCTGAATGTTTCTTACATAAGATCTTTCTCATTGTTATCATTCCCATGAACAGTAGTAGTGTTGTCTCCGTGTCGGCTTCAGGGTGATACTGACGCTTGGACGGGTACCTCTTCCCATACTTCATGTTACAGGGAAACAGAACCAGAGCAGACAATGGGATCCTTGGAGTTATTGGAGAAAACTTTAAATGAAGTCTTTCATTCCTATCGGTACATGTATAACATATTTCTTGTTAAACCGGTCTATGTCCATGTCCATTTGTCCTGATCGGTCAGTCCAACCCTAAGCCAGCGGTGTCGTAAAGACTTTGTCTATAACTAGCTGTCCACATAATACATTTCCTGTACCGCATCTCGTTTAAAACTTGCAGAAACTATTCTGCATTCCATATATTTATTGGATTGTCAGTTCATGTATTGGTGATTTAAAATGACAATTTAACGATTTGCTGAATTGTCCTCAACTTCTATTGGGATAGTGTGTTTTTATATTTACACAATATTATATTTTTTTGTGATTAATGTCCGATGCACCCTGGCACATACAAAATTCGAGACATTCGAGACTGATTTTAGTATATAGTTTCGTGTTAATTTACACATTTCAATATTTAGCGATCGTTAAACAGACTCACTGCTTGAACACCATTCATTTTATCAAGGAAAGTGTATATGACTTTTTGTAATTGTTGCTTTTGATCATACAAATCATCGCAAATGCCTTATTTGCAAAAATGACTTAAATACTTAATTGCATACCATTCTTCACTATCTATATATCGTAAAAGATAAAACAGCGAAGAGTTAATAATAAGTCGAACTCAAAATCGATGACACTTGGGCAAATTATGAACAAATGAGAACTGATATAGATAATAGTGTAAACTTATAAACTCAATATCACTTTTCTTTGATACTTTTGTTTACGCTCTAATGTCTAGGGACACATAAAGAATTTGGATACAGGTAAAAGCAAGATAAATGAGATGAACATTTGTGTAAAAAAACTAATTAAACCAGGCCATGTATGAAATTACTATATTCAACTTAATTACCCAACCAACGGGTTAAACTCAATCAGTTACTTAACTAATCCCTAATATCGTGTTCTGTCTTTCTTTCTAAACAGTTTTTTATGTACATAGTCATGCTATCATTGCAAAGTTTTACATGTATTATCAGTTAAGCTTGTTATGAACGGTAGGAAGGACAATGTATAAGTACAATTGTATTTGTTTCTCAATCATCAGAATAAAATGTTTTTGTAATTATAGATGTTAATTGATACGAATAAAATATGGTTTAAACTAAGCTGAACTAAACTAAATTACAAAATGAATACGAACATTATAACTTTTACAACAAGAACATTAAATTTATCCTTTTCAATCATTCCTATTCCTCATAGAGCCAAAAAAACCCATTATCAACACTGTGTTTGAACAAATTCGCGATGACATGAATTATATTATTATTATAATATCTATATTGTAATGGAGATAAATTAATAAGTAAGCTTATTTTGCAATTAAATTACGGATATCAAATAATCTGATAAACATCAACACCGATTACAAAACTAAAACAGAGACTTGTGAATGCATGCCTATTATAAAGAGACGATTTGTTCGCATTTCCAATATTTCTCTGTCTATTGAGGGGTAAACAATTATTATCAATTTCAGATAAGCATACATGTAATTGTAATATTGTTTACTAGCTCTTATACCTCATAGTGGTTTTTTTCGTATCGTGTGCAAAGAATTCTGGACTTTGTTATAAATAATAATCAAATGGAAACCATTTCCTTCTAACTTATTTAATGTCTCCAACAATCTACGATATAAGTAGCTTAAATAAACCAATTAACCAGATTTGATCTCAAACACGATTAGGAAAATTACAAAAATAAGAAAAACAAACGGAAAGATACCCACGAAAAAAACTCGAAGGAGCAACAAGGTACTCTGGAAGTAGGGAGTTCCGTGTGACACACGATGAACATAGCTTTCATCGAGAAAGTAATCATAATCACAGAACATAAATAATTGACGATGTATAATTATTGACCGGCATAAAAGGGTCAATGGTTTCTATCACAGGAAATGTGAAAGGGGACATGTTTGAAAAAAGAATTCAACCCCAACATCCTAGTATATTCATTGATGCGGAGGCTTTGTAGTTACAAACCTTGGGTAGTAATTATGTCTGCACACTGAAGTAAAATGACAGCCTGTACTTTTCGGTGAAATAGTGTGTTACCTACTCCGAGTTAGTCGAGGATTTGTTGTAGAATTTCGAAAATGACCGAGCTGTGTAATATGGGCATAATAATCCCCGAAAGTCATAACTGGTTAAGAAAGATCCGTTTGACTGAGAGATCATTGTAGTTAATGAATTATTTATGCAAGAGTTATCTTTCCTCAAATAAAAAAACCCTTGATAATTTAAAAAAAGTGAGAAATATCCAAAGAAACATAATATTGATCATGTTGATATCTTATCAGTACACATAATTTAGTCGATATTTAATTTTTCCTATTATAATGATGATGCTATCATATAATGTAACGTGTTACATACCAGAAATCGAAACCGATCGAAACTAACTGACTGGTTTACAAGTATTTCATAAATTTACCCACAATCCATGACTCTTTGTTTGCGTATTTTTATGATGAGTTACACGTCACACTCGTACCAGATAAGATATATAACGGATATACCTAGACGGAACAGGGTGTGTTTTACGTGAACTTTGTCAAGAACTGGATTGTGTTTCTGGAAGAAATATAGACTTTAACAAAACAGGTACAGAATTGTAACGTACATGTATTTCGCACTTTCTATTGATAATTATTGGTTTGATCTGATTCGAGTTTAGAAGGCTTAAGGTATTTCTTACAGTGTCAGCGTATATAGTATGTGATGGGCTAATAACTTTTCCTCAAAATGAAAAAAAATTATGGAAGTTGGTTTGTATACCAATGTCAAGAAAAATGTCAATAATTTGTTGAAAATAGTGTTGCTTTTGTCTGAAAAGTAACTTTTGAATGCAGAATTTGCGTGGCGCAAAATTGTATTGAGTACTATGATTCATGAAAAAACTTACCTATCCATGCATTCCTGAAGTATCCGTGTATTCACTATTATCGAGAAAAATGTTAGAAAATGTGTCAAATCTCCAGAATAATGGCATATATTTCAACTGAATAAATCACAACTGAGCACAAAGCCAACAAGGCTGACTGAGGTTGGACAAAACATGCAAAGCAAGTGAGAACTTACCTGTACACCATTCAAAACACTACAGGTTCTCACTCAGGTAAATATAGATTGACTTGTATTAATAGCCTTGATAGCTTCATAAAATATTTTAAAACATCCGATTAAAATACATGCAACCATTCTTGTCATTTAAATGTGACATACACATGTGGTTCGGTTCTGAAAACGAGATCTTAAATAATCGATAGGCTGAAAAACTGTTGTACACACTAGATCAACAAAGGACATGTCTGTGCTGTTTTTGAACTTTTGACTCAGGATTTTGAAATATGGCATACATGTACGTGAATCGAGACACAGCAAGGATTTGTTTTAACAACAATGCGAACACTGGCTCATATTGTTTACAACCCAAATATACAGCACTGTTACCCATGATATTACATATCACAGCGATCAATATTTAATAAACAATCAAAATTATTAACTCATCCTAAAAACTGAAACGTTATCAAAGACACGAATGTGTCCTTCAAAGCAGTCAGTGAGACATCCGGTTTGTCTGTACGGTAACATCTTAACGACCCATCTACACTATAAAATAATGCTGGGCAGTATGGAAGCCGTAAAAGCATTTTAGATAAGAATTGTGCTATGCGTAGTATATTTTTGTATGGAAAGGAAAATCGTAAGATAGTGTAAATATTATATTAAACGACACATAAGAGTGAACATCTTATAAAAAATACGACACACGTTAGAGAATTTAACTCTTATATAAAAAAAAAGACACACGTAAGATAATGTTCATCTAATATAAAACAACACACGTAAGATATTGTTCATCTGATATAAAACAACACACGTAAAAGAGTTTAAATCTTATATAATACAACACACGTAAGAGAGTTTAAATCTTATATAATACAACACGCTTAAAAGATTTTAAATCTTATATAATACAACACACGTAAGAGAGTGTAAATCTTATATAAAACGAGACAGGTAAGATAATATAAATCTTATATAATACAACACACGTAAGAAAATGTACATATTGCATACAATTACACACGTTAGAGAGTGATAATCTTATATAATACGACACACGTTAGAGAGTGGTAATCTTATATAAAACGACACACGTGAGAGTGTAAATTTCATATAATACGACACATGTACGATGTAAATCTTATAAGATAGGACACAGGTAAGAGTGTAAATCTTATGAAAATACGACACACGTAAGAGTAGGTAGAATTGCTATAAAACCAGTATGTTGGTGACTTCTAGTATCATGCAGTAACCTAGGAAACTGCAATTGATTTGTTGCATCAGTAACCTAGGCAATTGTTAATGATCTCTAGAATCATTATCATGGAGGAATGTAAGTGATCTCTAGTATCAGTAACTTTCTAGCAATAGTAACCAGGGAGAGTGAAAATGATATTTAGTATCAGAAACCTTGAAGAGTTCAAATTATCTCTAGTTTCAGTAAACAAGAACAGTGTAAACAATTTCTAGAATCAGTAACCTAGGAAACCGGTAATGATTTTTAATATCAGTTATTTTGGATAGTGTAAATAATTTTAGTATCAGTTAACTAGGAGAGTGTAAATGATATCTGGTATCAGTAACATAGGAAACTGCTACTGATCTTTAATATCACTAATATTAGATAGTATAAATGATTTTTAGATTTTTATGATAACATAGGAAAGTGTAAATGAACTATGGTATCAGTAGCATAGGACAGCGCAAACGATCATTATTATCAGTTATCAAAGAAACTGCAAATGATTATTATTAATAGTAACCTAGGAAACTGAAAATGATCTTTAGTATCAGTAACCTAGGAAACTGCAAACTATATTTAGTTTACATCATAAATAATATGAAGTTCTTGGCGGAAAAAAATTGTCATAATGGGACCCGATTGTATTAGTGCATTTTCTAGAGGGATGATTTGTCTTTTTTCTGAAATATGAAGTAACGTTCTTTGAATATTAGGAAAACGTATTTATATATTTGTGTTTATATTCTTTTAGCATATGCCACTTCATTGGTACGGAAAACAAAGAAAGTGACGATGGGCTCAACATGGTCTTATGGTACCAGCATAGATGCAGTAGATAGAAATGTTGAAGGAATATGGACGGAGGGATTACGAAACACAACGCCAGACTACGGACAGGTAGGAAGCAATTTTAATGGCTGGCGAAAACCTGTTTCGAAATTTGCTCGAAATGAAGTCACGCTTGCTGAACGCCTTCGAGAAAACGTTTACATAGGAGAATACGATATATCGGACGAACTTTGGCAGAAATCCTGCGGTGTTGTAGATGAAATAACGCGATTCTTTCATGTCACACTGAAGAAAGTAACTTCAAGGTATTATCCTGGCCTCAGTTTTGGTGATTTTGTGAAGCAGGGTAGTTCTCGCGAGGGTTTGAAAATTCGACACCCCGACGAGTTTGATATGATTCTTCCATTCACCATTGAAGGAGTTGATATACACGCTGTTCCAGCTCTCGATAGAAGCGGAGAGCTGATTCCGGCACACATGAAACTACAGATTACAAAATATACACAGATTCAGAATGTCATGAATGGCAGCCGGTACCAATCGCTGAAAAATAACGGCGTATTTGAAAAGTGTGGCACTGATCTGTTTCTTAACGCAATGTGCTTCCAGACGCGGGTAGTATCATCCATCATGGATACCACCATAGCAGAGATACAGAAAGAAATCGACACGAAGAACAGGAATCAAGCTTGCTTTTTTACACTCAGTAAAACAAGCGTGTTTCCGCCAACGTATAGATTCAAAATAAAAATAGATGCTGATTTTGATGAACTCTCAATTTTTTTCCGGTTTATTTCAACGCTTAGGGACATTGTATATGAAGAAGCTGCAACTCCAATGTGGAACGCCACGCACACAGTGATTGAGTTCGATATTGTGCCGGGGCTGCTACTTCAAACCGATTCTGTCCCTAATCCAGACAGCTGGTGGTTTTCAATGACATGTGATAGATACGCCGTCATGAAGTGGATCCACAAAGGACGTTACGCGGATGATTATTCTGAGCCGAATCTGCTTTGGAGGGAGAGCTCGTGCGGGTACGAGAAGCATATAATCGATGTCAGTAGAAGGAACAAAAGTGACGTCTACATCCTGACAGCTTGTAGGATATTAAAGGCCTACTTAGACGGCTTGGGGAACTCCTCACAACTATGTAGTCTTCTATCGTCCTACCACATCAAGAACATCGCGATCCACTGTATTCTTCTTCAGCTGCGCGTTTCTGGCGTCAAGGAAGCTTTGGGTTACCTCATTGCGTTCCTGGAGATAGGTCTTGAAATGAAGTTCTTGCCACATTATTTCTACGGAAATCCTTACATTTCGAACATGTTTCCGAAATTATCAGAAAACGCTAACCAGAGACGTCTCAACCTGTTCAGAAAAATCCCTCATGACCACTTTGCACAGGCCATACTTTCAATGAGGCGGATGAAAGCCGATTTACACGATTTGTTTACCGAAAGTAGTCATCTTGGTAACCACCGGAGTATCGACTCCTTCAGAAACCTCTGCTCTGAAGACACAAGTGGCAGATGCCTGCTGATGTGAGTCTTCACTGGTGCAGACATTGATTATTAGTCATGCTCATCATATAGGGAAAGAATGCTTTTGGACAAGGAAATTTGCATGAGCATAAACAACTGATGATGTTGATTCATATTGAACAATTTTGAACAAGGGAACGAAAACTGAAACCCGCAATTTTCTCATACCTTCATTTGATGTCTGATTTTTAAAAATATGTATCATCAAATTGTGTTAAGGTTTCCTTAAGCTGAAGTGATACAAATTCTCGAATCAGTATCACACTGTGTATATCCTCACGGAGTGTACTAGCTGTATCATCACCTAAGCAGGTGATACATAACTGGTTTTTGTTTATATGTTCATTGTATATTGTAGTATTACATTACGAGTAAGTAGCATAGTGAATTACACTATGGACAAATTGCCATCAAGGATTCAAATGAAGTTCGATGTTATAGATTATAATCATAAATGTGTTTTGCAGTTTTGTTGAACTACCCGAGTTCCCGATGTGAGGACATGCAGTTAGGTGGATTTGACCTATATTTACGTGGCGGGTGTCATGTCATGATACATTTTGACGTCACAATACAACCTACCAAAATTGACGCCAAAATAAACAATCCACTTTTAGGTCATCATTTGAGGAACAACAAAGGACAACAAATACAGATACATGTACATAGTTGCAGGCATGACTTTAGCAACAGACTTTTGACAAACATTTTCTTTGTTTTTCATGCAACGATCTGTGTTGTTAGAAACATTTAACCAGGTCTTAATATATCGATTAACATTGATTCTTTTGACTCTCTTTATACAATGTATGTCTTCTGTAGCTTGATCTAGATATATACATTGCAGAAAGTTGTTTAATATTGTTAATTAATATTTGCATTTCCCAACTGCATACAAAAAACTTTATATATTCGGTATTGGTGAAGATTCAGTTATCATTGTTTACCACTTTTCTCCTATCTTTTCGTAAATAAAATAAAAGTATCCACCCTATCATGCATATACAAATGATAAAAATAAAGGTACACATTTTGAGTCAAAAACCGAGCTTTGTCGAGGGATTTAAAACCAAATTATGTACACAAAAATATGTGATGTCGCTCCTTTCTGTACATAGTTTACATATAACTGAGCTATTTTCTTACATCGCTTACCGATTTATTTGATAGAGATGTTTAGCAGTCATCTTGTGACAAAATTGCAATTTCTTTAGTTCTGACCAAATTTTGAATTGTTCATTTTACTGGGGACAGCGCATCTACTGTTTGGTTTATACTGACAGTACTTTACTTGGGCAAATCATCGATGAGACCACAATAAATGAAATCGATTACTTAAACTGAAAAATGAAAATTTAGGAAGATAGGTTGAAATGACGACATTTAATTTTTTTGCATTATGACGTTATGTCCATGAAGTGAACGGTTTATCTTTTTCTGTAATGAAAGATGTAAAAGACACTAGTTAACGTTGAAAGCAATGATTAAATGAAAATGGACTGTCTATTCGAATCATACAGCAAATGGCACGATCAACAGTCGTCTAAATTTCACGCTAGATTGTTGATGTCATCAGATCTCACGGAGTGTCAGTGGCCGTATACAGTGCATGCTGTTGCTAACATCGCTTAATGCAATCTGAAAAATAAAATGATCAAGATGGAAGCTAACATAGACGGAATTTAATTCTATATCTTGAAATAAAATACAAGAAATACCAACGGTAAAACATTGATAGTTCATTAACGAAATGATAAAATTAAATGTCATCAGTTTGACCAGAGGGCTAAAATTGGACATTTTGTCAATTTATGAAAATAAAAGATAATTAGAATTAGACAATAAGGTATGATTTCAATTTTTATTTGAAATAAAGGCTTATCTATCAGAGCACCTGGGAGTGTAACTTTTTTGTTAATTAACAATGCCTGCATTTCTATGCTAATTGCCTCTCTATGTTAACATTCCTTACTCTCTTGTTATTCTGTGTGAGTATTTGGTGTAGACTTTGTGTCCGAATTCATCCTGATGTATGAACACTGTTGGGGATATATTTGCTCTGTTTTACAGTTATGACTTTCTTAGCTGCAGTGTGACACCAGTATCAGGTTTAATACAAAGAGTTTGTTGACAAATGGCTTGGTGTGTTCTGTTCTCTTTCCAATAACCTAAATGAGTTCGGGATGGAGGCTTAAGATTTTGACATGCCTGATAACCAAAATGTAGTTAGGGATGGATGCTTCAGTTTTTAGTATATTCGATAACCAACGCTGGGTTCGGGATGAAGGCTTCAGTTTCTAGCAAGCCCGAAAATAAAAGATGAGTTAGGAATGTTTGCTTCATATTCTAGCATGCTTGATAACCAAAGTGGCATTTGGGATCAATACTTAGGTTTCTAGCATGTCCGATAACAAGTTTTGAGATGGGGATGGTGCTACAAAACGTTTAGCATGCCGGATCATTTAAAGCAGAACTAGTTGATAGTTACACAAGTCTATGGTATAGTTACGCATTGGAATTGTATAGTTTAACAAAAAAATGTAAAGTTACACACAAGGCATAAATAATCGACGATGTATAATCATTGACCGGCATAAAAGGGTGTATGGTTACTATCACAGGAATTGTGACATGTTTAAAAAAGAATTCAACCCCATCATCCTAGTATATTCATTGGAGGCGGAGGCTTTGGAGTTACAAACCTTGGGTAATAAATATGTCTGCACACTGAAGTGCGATGATAGCCTGTACATCTCGGTGAAATAGTGTGTTACCTACTCCGTGTCAAGGATTTGTTGTAGACTTTCGAAAATGACCAAGCTGCGCTATTGGGGCATACTAATACCCGAAAGCCATAGCTGGTTAAGAACGATCCGTTTAACTTAGAGTGATTTAGATATTTTACAAATTAGCAAATTTAATTATAATAAATAGAACTGTACTAAAGTTTCTGCTTTATCAATCATCCTGTCACGACAATAGCTATTTCAGCATCTAATTGTATTTGTTTGGCACTTATGATCTATTTAGGTGACACAGCTTTACAAGCAAACACCATACACTTTATACTGACAACAGGTTAACCATTTGTTGCGATTATCCTAAATGGTGAAGGTTAAAAAGGGATTAACCATTTTAAAGGACTTTGGTAATGCTTTCTTCACTTGGGCGAACGTTTAATACTAGGGCCAAAAGTGACAATATATTTTCAAGAAGGACGTTAGAGATAAACGCTTGTTAGGAAATTGTGAGAAAATAAAGAAAGATCCCAAATGCTGAAATAGGTGCAGCAGACCTATTTTTATCGTGTTGTGTTTCATGTAGAGGGCACAAAAGCGAATCCCCGATAACAAGCAGTGGGTAACAGCAGGTACAGTAGATCATTTTCTTAACTTCCGATCTGCGCGGGTGTTCACTTGTCTTATTTACAATTTAATTCGTGAACATATCTACATAATGCACATGAAATGTTAAAAATAATTTATATTTTACACTAACAATATAATATTCAGTCTGAAACCTTTACAAAGCAAAACCGTGTTGTTTACTACTGCGTCAACTTCACGAGTAAAAATATTTGGTTGGTTTTTGGTAATACGTGTACTAGAGATTTTTCTGTGATCGTATAGATGGCAAGAATCACACGGAGAATTTCACATGCCATCAGCATCACTTATTGACGCTCCATATCCGGTAAAATAATTGAGAACGTGTTAATCAAATATTGTACTTGTGGTTCAATAGGAAGATAACTTTTAAGTTACAGCCCTGGTAATGCAGTGTAGTTTATGAATTAATAATGTAAGAGTTATCTTTCTTGGATTGAGAAGCGAAGGCTTGATAATTCTAAAAAGTTAGAAAAATCCAATGAAACATAACTGATCAAGCTGATATCTTATCAGTACACATACTTTAGTCGTCATTATGTTTTTCCTATTATCATGATGAAACTATCATATAATGTATCGTGTTACATACCAGAAACCGAAACCGAAAGCAAAACTGTTATTTGGTTTCCATATACATTATAAATTTACCCATAATCCGTTACTCTTTTTTACATATTTTCATGGTGGGTTACACGTCACACTCGTACCAGGTAAGACATACATGTATAATGGCTATACCTAGACAGAAACATGGTATGTTTATGTGAACTTTGTCAAGAACTAGATTGTGTTTCTGGAAGATATATAGATTTTGACAAAACAGGTACAGAATTGTACCGTACATGTATTTAACACTTTCTATTCATAATTATTGGTTTGACCTGATTCGAGTTTATAAGGCTTTATGATTTTCACAACGTATTTTAAACAGAAATGTAAATAAGATGTATGATATTTTAATTACCTAATGCGAGTCTTTCAAAGATATGTGATGAGAGAGTTGCCTTTCTATATTTGAGAAATTGCGATCCAAACAGTAGAATCGATTGGACCAGAGTTGTAAGTTTATGAAATAATGTCGGACCCAGTAATCTGATGCTGCTTTCAGGCAATATTTGAAGTCTTGCAAGGCCTGTATTGACCGTCCGCCAGGGTTTATACCTAAACATGGGTTCCTCGGTCATTACTGCTGTGTGCACTCAATCATAGGCTTCAGACCTCTCACTCTTCTAAGAAGTTCAGTTCGATCCACCCCGGTTGCGGAAAAAAGAGAGTGATATTTGATTGGGTTAGTTGTTATCCCTCCCTCGTGGGTTTCCTCTATCACGAAAACAACATTTATTTTAGCGGCGTCGTAATAAAAGAGCTTATGTTTGTTGTTGACACGACGTTAAATAAAGATTATTCATTTATTTAAAATGTTACATTTAAAAACGGACATACCGGTTGTTCCGCATAAACAAGCAGGCCCCTAGTCTGGGAGACATTTCGGATATAAACGGCGATATCATGTGAAGATTCCTATTTAACATAAAACATGTCTGTGCTGTTTTTAATGTTTGGCACTTGACTCAGGATTTTGAAATATGGCATACGTGAATCGAGACACAACAACGATTTGTTTTAACAACAGTGTAAAAATTGGGTCACGTCGTTTACAACACCAATATATACTGCATTGTTACCCATAATTATATATCACAGCGTTCCATATTTAGTTATCATTGGACAAATATCGAGTTATTAACTCATCCTAAAACAGAAACCATGTGGGACATCCGGTTTGTCTGTACGGTAAAATCTACCCTACAAACTTACACAGAACACGTGGAAGCCGTGAAAGCTTCATAAATAAAACTTGTGCTATGTGTTGGATATTTTTATGAAATGGAAAATCTTATATAAATTACGACACTCGTAGGAGCTTTAAATCTTATATAATACAACACACGTAAGATATTATAAATCTGATATAATACGGCACTCGTAAGATAGAGTTTTTTTTTTATATAAAACGACACACGTAAGATAGTGATTTTTTTATATAATACGACACACGTAAGATAGTGTATTTTTTATATAAAACGACACAAGTAAGAATGTACATCTTATAAAAAATACGACACAGATAAGAAAGTGTAAATATTATATAATACGACACACGTGAGATTGTAAATCCTATGTAATGCGACACACGTATGCTAGCATGTATCATGTATAATACTACAAACACACACACACACACACAAGAGTTTAAATCCTTTATAATACGATACACGTGTGAGAACATGTATCTAGTTTAATACTACACACACACAAGAGTATAAAGCTTTCATATTATGACACAGTTCAGAGTATAAACCATAATAGTTATAACCTTCCATTTACAGTGTAACTTCTGTGTAACCGTTTAAAGTCAATATGATTATGCTAAAAATAGATCTGACTTTCTTAAGTATTGCTATAAAAGAAGTGTGTTGGTGACATTTAGTATCAGTAACACAGGAGAGTGTAAATTTTCTCAGGTATCAGTAACCCAGTTGAGTGTAAAATATCCTAGTATAAGTAACCTAGGGAGTGAAAATGATTTCTAGTATCAGTAACATTGGAGAGTGTAAATGATCCAGTATATCAGTAACCGAACAGAGTGTAAATGATTTATAATATCAGTTACCTAGAAGAGTGTAGATTATTTCTAGTATCAGTAACCTAGGAGAGCGTAAATGTTCTCTAGTATCAGTAACCTAAGAATGTGTTCATAATCTGTAACATCAGTTACTTAGGACAGTGTATATGATCTCTAGTATCAGTAACCTAGGACAGTGTAATTAATCTATAGTAGCAGTAACCTAAGACAGTGTAATTAATCTATAGTATTATTAACCTAGGATAGTGTAATTGATTTCTAGTATCAGTAACCTAGGACAGTGTAAATGATCTCTAGTATCAGTAACATAGGAGAGTGTAATGTATTTATAGTACATGTATCAGTAACCTAGTTTAAGTATCAGTAAATGGGAGATATAGGTGATGACATAACTAAACCAGAGGATTTTACCAATAGGTTTCAAACTAATTGGTATTAGTAACATTGGGGAGTGTTAATGATCACTAATATCAGTAATCATGGAGAGCACGAATGATCTCAAGTATCAGCAACCTACGAAAATTGAAATGATCTCTAGTATCAGTAACCTAGGAGAGTGTAAATGATCTCTAGTATCAGTAACTTAGGAGAGTGTAAAATATTTATAGTATCAGTAACCTAGGAGAGTGTAAACTATCTATAGTAGCAGTAATGTAGGAGAGCGTAAAAGATCTCTAATATCAGTTTCCTAATGTTATTGATCTCTTATATCAGTAGCATAGTATAGAGTAAATGAATGCTAGTATCAGTAACCTAGGAAACTGTAAATGAGATTTAGTAGATATAGGCGATGGCATAACAATATGTTCCAAACGAATCAGTATCAGTATCAGTAACACTGCAAATGATCTAAAGTTTCTGATGCCTAGGTGAGTGTTAGTAATTTCTAGTATCAGAACACAGGAAACTGCATATGATCTTTAGTATCAGTAACCTAGGTGAGTGTTAATAATCTCTAGTATCAGTAACACAGGAAACTGTAAATCATATTTAGTATCAGTAACCGAAGAAAGTGCAAATGATCTTTAGTATCAGTAACCTAGGAATCTGCAAACGATATTTAGTATCAGTAAATAGGAGATATAGGTAATGACATAACTGACCCAGAGTTTCTACCAACATGTTCCAAATGAATCGATATATATTATTTGCAGGTATTGATAACTCGATATTTTTAAAGACAATACATTTTACATCATAAATAAAAAGAAGTTTTAGGCGGAAAAATCTAATAAAGGGACTCGGTTGTATTTGTGCGGTTTCTAGAGAGATTATGTATTCTTTCCGATAAATGTCCCTATAAAATCTGAAATATAAAGTAACTTTAGGTTCTTTGAAAATGAGGAAAACGTATTTGATTATATTTTTGTGTTTATATTCTTTCAGCATATGCCACTGACGGAAAACAAAGAAAGTGACGATGGGCTCAATTTGGTCTGATGGTACCAGCATAGATGCAGTAGATAGAAATGTTGAAGGAATATGGAGGCAGTGGTTACGTAACACAACGCCAGACTACGGAGAGGTAGGAAGTGATTTTAATGGCTGGCGAAACCCTGTTTCGAACTTTGCTCGAAATGAAGTCACCCTTGCTGAACGTCTTCGAGAAAACGTTTACATAGGAGAATACGATATATCGGACGAGCTTTGGTGGAAATCCTGCGGGGTTGTAGATGAAATAACGCGATACTTTCATGTCATACTGAAGAAAGTAACTTCAAGGTGTTATCCTGGCCTCAGCTTTAGAGATTTTGTGAAGCAGGGTAGTTCTCGGGAGGGTTTGAAAATTCGACAACCCGACGAGTTTGATATGATTCTTCCATTCACCATTGAAGGAGTTGATATACACGCTGTTCAAGCTATCGATAAAAACGGAGAGCTGATTCCGGCACACATGAAACTACAGATTTCAGATTACACACAAATTCAGAATGTCATGAATGGCTGCCGGTATCAATCGCTGAAAACAAACGGCGTATTTGACAATTGTGGCGCTTATCTTTATCTTAACGCAATGTGCTTCCAGACGCGGGTTATATCATCCATCATGGATACCACCATAGCAGAGATACAGAAAGAAATCAACGCGAAGAACAGGTATCAAGCTTGCTCTTTTATTCTCAGTAAAACAGGCGTATTTCCGCCCACGTTTAGATTCAAAATAAAAATTGAAAATGATGCTGATTTTGAAGGTCCACTGTGGAACGCCACGTATAAAGTGATTGAGTTCGATATTGTGCCGGGGCTGCTGCTGCAAACCGATTCTGTCCCTAATCCGGACAGCTGGTGGTTACCAATGACATGTGACAGATACGCCGTCATGAAGTGGATCCACAAAGGACGTTGTGCAGATGATTATCCTGAGCCGAATCTGCTTTGGAGGGAGAGCTCGTGCGGGTATGAAAAGCATATACTCGATGTCAGTAGAAGGAACCAAAGTGACGTGTACATCCTGACAGCTTGTAGGATATTAAAGGCCTACTTAGACGGCTTAGGTAACTCCTCGCAACTATGTAGTCTTCTATCGTCATATCACATCAAGAACATTGCGATCCATTGTATTCTTCTTCAGCTGCACGCTTCTGGCGTCAAGGAGGCTTTAGGCTACCTCATTGTGTTCCTGGAGATAGGTCTTGAAATGGAGTTCCTGCCACATTATTTCTACGGAAATTCTTACATTTCCAAAATGTTTCCGAAATTATCAGCCAACGCCAACCAGAGACGTCTCAACCTGTTCAGAATTATCCCCAATGACCACTTTGCACAGGCCATACTTTCACTGAGGCGGATGAAAGCCGATTTACACGGCTTGTTCACCGAATGTAGTCACCTTGGTAACTGTCAGAGTTTCGGTTCCTTCAGAAACCTCTGCACTCTGTATGATGAAGAAACAAGTGGTAGATGCCTGCTGATGTGAGTCTTTACTGGTGCAGACATTGATTAGTAGCCATGATCATCATATAGGGAAAGACGGCTTTTGGACAAGGAAGTTTGCATGACCATGAACAATTGATGAAGTTGATTCATATTGAACAAGGGGATAAAACTAAAAATTGCGATATTGTGTGCTACGCGTGACTTATTGCTACAAATGTACATGTATGCGATTGTTTATTGTAGTATTATTTCACTAGCAGGGGTTTATTGTATAATTATTATAACATAATGCAGATTATACATTGATGTATAACTTTACTAGAAGGTGTAACATTGTCATATCGTTTTGCCAGTTGATGGTACATTGTATCTTCTCCCACCTCTGCGTATGAAAGACACACGTGCATCATGTGGAACATCCCAATGCATGGGTGCACTCACTGACCTGTACTTTTATGACGTCACAATCAGATAACGGGATGTTGTTATGACGTCACAGTTGAAAGTGCGTCAACATAACGTTTGACTGACTGGCAATTCTGCCGTCTGCAAGTGACAACACCCGCAAGACATAATAGTTTTTTTGTAAAGGCTTGCCCTGTATGTCATTGCACGGATGTTTTAGTGGTATACATACGGTATACCGTACTTTTTCTGCTCTTTCCAAATACAGTTTGTGTAAACGTTATTTTTTAACTTTGCCATATTTAGTGTTTTCTATGTACAGTTTTGCCAAACTTTCGGTTAGAACGTGGAAGAAAAAGCGGCAATTGTTATGTATGTATGAGGGATATGGATAGTCTACCTTTTGGAGCAGAATTCGGTGTCAAAATCTCAGCAAAACTTCGGTTCTGACCCAATTTTTATACCTTTAGGTAGGATATCAATATCCCACACACCTATATATTATAAACTATATAAATCATTTTATAATTAAATGTTATATTATAAACAAAACTCACTAGTAGGTAGTATGTTATGGTACAGGTAAACTGGTTGATGATATATATTGTATTATAACATTACTAGTAGGGGTATTGTGAATATAGTGTTGCCAATAGATGGAGTATTGTATGATTTTACAAATAAATAGTGTATTGTATCATTTTACAAATAGATAGTGTATGGTAGTAAACCCCACTGTCATGCACCTAAATAGAATAGAAATGCCCAACCCAAAAGAACATGTTTTGTCGCGAAAACCTAGCCTTGCTGAGGGATTTGAAACCAAGTTATGTACACAAAAGTGTCATATGTCGCTCCTAACTGTACACAATTTACATATGATGTTCTTACATCGCTTACCGATTTATTTGATAGAGATGTTTAGTTGCAATCTTGTGACAAAATTTCAATTTCTTGGAAAGATTATCAATATGACCACACTAAATGAAGATTAATTATTTAAACTGGAAAATGTAATTCAGCAAAATAGATTGAAATGACGTCAAACTTTGTCGTAACATGACGTCATCTCATTGTTGTTTGCAATATAACGTCATGCCTATGAAGTGTAGTTTTTTTTATTTCTGTTATGAAAGATGTAAATTATCATATTTATCGTTGAAAGCAATGTTTTGATGAGAAATGGACTGTCCATTTGAATTTGCCTTACAGTACTATACTTTGTTGAAAAATGTTATTTGTCCGAGATTGATTTTACATACAGCAAAAAGCACGATCAAAAGTCGGCTATTTTTCACGCTAGATTATTGTCGTCATCAGATCTCGCGGAGTGGCAGCGGTCGCTTCCTGTGCATGTAGTTGCAAATATCGCTTAATGGAATCTGAAAAATAAAATGATGAGGATGGAAGCCAAAATGGATGGAATTCATTTTTTTTTTATCTTGAAATGAAATACAAGAAATACCAACGGTAACATATTGATAGTTCATTAGCAAATAATAAAATAAAATGTCATAAGTTTGAACAGAGGCTAACACTGTGACATTTTGTCAAATTATGAAAAAAAGATAATCAGAATTAGACAATAACGTATGATTCAAATTTGTATTGGAAATAAAGGCTTATCTATCAATATATCCAAGCACCTGGGAGTGTAACCTTTTTTGTTGATTAGCAATGCTTGCATGTCCATGCTAATTGCCTCTCTATCCGGTAATGTTGACATTTCTTAACTCTCTTGTTGTTTTGTGTGATGATTTAGTGTAGACTTTGTGTCCAAATTCATCCAAATGTATGAACACTGTTGGGTTATTTTTGCTCTATTTAAGAGTTATAACTTTCTTAGCTGCAGTGTGACAACAGTCACAGTTTTAATACAAAGAGTTTGTTGACAAATGGCTCGGTGTGTTCTGTTCTCTTTCCAATAACCAAAACATAGTTCGGGATGGATGCTTCAGTTTCTACCAAGCCCGATAATCAAAGAGGAGTTAGGGATGTAGGCTTCAGTTTCTAGCATGCACCGAAATGGCGTTTTGGATCGATACTTGGGTTCTAGTATGCCCGATAACCACAGTTGAGATTGGGATGGTGCTACAAAACTTTTAGCATGATGGATCATTTAAAGCAAAACTATTGTATAGTTTCATATATGAATTGTATAGTTTCACATATAAATTGTAAAGTTACACATATAAATTGTATAGTTTTACATATAGATTGTATAGTTTCACATATAAATTGTAAAGTTACACATATAAATTGTATAGTTACACATATAAATTGTATAGTTACCCAAATTAATTGTATAGTTACACATATAAATAGTATAGTTACACACAGAACATAAATAATCGACGATGTATAATCATTGACCGGCATAAAAGGGTGTATGGTTACTATCACAGGAAATGTGACAAGGAACATGTTTAAAAAAAAATCAACCCCAACATCCTAGTATGTTCATTTGAGGCGGAGGATTTAGAGTTTAAAATCTTGGGTAGTAAATATGCACACTGAATTGAGATGATAGCCTGTACATCTCGGTGAATTGTGTTACCTACTCCGAGTTAGTCAAGGATTTGTTGTAGACTTTCGAAAATGACCAAGCTGCGCTATTGGGGCATACTAATACCCGAAAGCCATAGCTGATTAAGGACTCACACAACTAAATCAGCCAATCAGCAAGTGTTTCATACGTTTGTAGTTCCTATCTGAAATAGGTTCCGGCTAATTACTGGGTCACTGAAGGAGTTTAATAAGGAACTGATGACAGATTTTTAAATAAATGAAATGTTCAAGTATTTAACTTTTGAAAAATATATACTTTTGATATATTTCCCTGTCTGTGTGCGGATTTGCACAGGGGCAAAATGTCTGGGGGCGTTTCTGTTTTGGGTCCCCGGTTTTGCTTGTAAACTTCCGGTTGTCAACTCCTTGGCGCTGTGACACTCCAATATGCCACGAAACCTACCAAAAAAGTCATTTTGTAGCCTTTGCAAGGTATGTATTTATTGAATCTAGACAGTTGTCACTAGTTTTGAACTTCAAATATTAAAGTTATTAGCTAAAATGTTTGGTAATAACATATAGTAAATGATTTAGTTGTATGAGTCCTTAAGAACGATCCGTTTAACTTAGAGTGATTTAGATCATTTACAAATTAGCAAATTTAATTATGTATACATATAACTGTGATAAGGTTCTTACTTTATCATTCATCTTGTCACAATAATATATTTTATGCCGTAAAGGTCGTTCAATAATATAATTATACTGTGAATTATGTCGGGTAGTATTTTAGGTTGATAATTGGCAAAATGGAAAATAAATCAACCTGAAGAGGCATTCCAAATGACAAAAAAAAACCAGTAATATTATTTTATGTGTTCATTCAAAGTGTATATTTTAATTAACAGCTTCACAAGTCAGATAAAATGCCAATCGGCCATCATTAAGCGCTACGGCAGAAACCATAACAAACACATGCCTTAGTGCCTGATAGTAATGCTCTGGTGATATTTCTCTCCGAGGCTGACAATGCATTGATGTAAAAGTAATTGATTCATAACCCGATAGTCCGATATTAGAATATATTTAAGATCCACTATTAATGATATAATTTCTCCCTATTAATGACAGATGATACAAGTATCTCAATAAAGAAAGTACTAAAGGTAGTTGTAAATGTGTCATTTTTTTTCCCGGGTTTGTCTTAAAACAATTAGATACTCCTTTATGTACCAAGGCTGTGCTCACGCTAGCCATTCGCTTTTCGTTATTAACGAAATGAAATCCTATTTGCGAAAATGAAATAAACCCCTTTCGCTATATTTGCGACTTTTGCCCTGAATAATTCACTAAACATGGTGCATCTGCGTCGTCTTATATTGACATTAAAAAACAAAAGCAGCATCTCGACCAGAATGTTGACTCAGTCAGCAAAACGCTTACTGACTAATACGAATAGTCCTTTCCGATGCAAACATATATGTGACCGAGACAACTGAAGCGCTTAGAAACGCAAATGGAAGTTGAATTGTTTCATCCATGATTCCAAAGACATCCCATCCAACGGTATTTTATCTCATATTTGTACTGTATACAATACTGCACAACTGTAGGTCTAACGATTTAAATGTCGGCATGCTGCATGGTGGCAGCCACTGGAGATACGTGATGAAATGATCACTTAAAAACAAGTTATTGAGTTGTTGCAATTTAGGACTATTTTGATTATACTTGTCCCGATCTTAATCGTATCAAAACGACACTATGAACGTTCCTGATTGTAACGTCCGACCGAATATAGGATATAACTATTGTGTCATGTACGTGTCTTTTGTAACTTTTGAAAATTAACTAACTCGAGTGAAATAAATACCATATTCAACAACAACTCATTGTGTAATATCTATTTAAACACGACTAAAACAGCTATTCAACATGACATTAAAGAAATTGTTCGAGTGTTATAACAAATTTGACCCCTGTGACATTGAATAAGGGTCAAGGGCATTTCCTTTTGCAAAATTTGTCTGGCATGATGCTTCCGTAAAGGCAAAGATAAAGAAATGGACAAAATTTACCTTCGGACCAGGCCTAGGTGAGCTAACAAGAGTACCGCAGGGCGGAACAGTATACGCCCGTCGAATGCCATATAGTGTTATATACTATCTTGCATTAAAATAAGATTTGCATCACCTTAAGAGTGGCTAGCTACATGTAGCATGCTTTAAATCTCACCTTTCACTACAAAGTCAATGTTCTAACAGTTTGAGGAAAACAAGTAATCAAAATATTAGTCTCCAACTCATTAAACACAACTTGATATCATGATTATAGCCTACCAAGTTTAAAGAAATCGATAGAAAACTGTAGAAGGAGATCTCCGGACAAGATTCAAGTACTAGAAATAAACAAAGGGCAACCATTTCTGCAAAAATAGACTAATCATTTATTTGTTTTCCTCGAAGAAACGTAACTATATATCATGACTATAACGATTTCCAAGTTTCAAAGAAATCGGTCGAAAAAAGTAGGAGGAAATCTCCGAACAAAAATCCTTTATAAACTATTGTAAATTTAACCCCCTCCCCAGAGTCAAACGTGGAGCTCGAGAGTCATGAAATTCACAATTTTAATAAAGTACCTCAAGACCCTTTCACCTATGAAGAGTATTGGTTTCCAGCATATCTGGGCCTGGAGAAGAAGATTCTTATAATTTCAGCCAATTTGATCTCCTTTATAATAGCCCCGCCCCTTAGCCCTTGTAGGCGGGCCCGGGCCCAAACTGTCAAAGTATCAATCTGTCAGCTCATGGTTATAATGTAAATCAAGTTTGAATGATTTCCAGTAGAAAATGAACAAAATATACCCAAAAGTTGCATTTTCCTATATAAACTATTGTAAATTTAACCCCCTCCCCAGAGTCAAACATGGAGTCTGGGGGGTCATGAAATTTACAATTTTGATAAAGCAAAAGGTCAGAGGATCAGTCAGGGTCAATATGTGCATACCATCAAACTTCCATCCCAAAATTTTAATTCTGACCAAGTTTGAATTATTTCCAATGGAAACTAACGAAATAATTCTGGAAAATATTATTTACCTATATGAACTATGGTAAACTTTACCCCCTCCCCAGGAGGAAATGTGAGATCCTGTAGTCATGAAATTCACAATTTTGGTAAAGGACCTTAAGACCCTTCCATCCACGAAAAAGAATTTGACATTCATGGTTTATTTTATTAAACTTGAAATTTAAATCCTTTCCATATAATATCGCAGACCACAGTATCCGGGCCTGGCCGTGGATTTTTATACAATGTATAAATTTGTATAAAAAATAAAATTAAAAAAATCTTCAATGAAATTGGTATTTGTCATTTCGAAGTGAATAGTGTAGGCTGCATATTTTTCATAATATAAAAATTTGTATTTGGTTGCATGCAAAGTTTGCGAAAATAAATAATGTTGAACGTATGTTGAATTGTGATTGAGTATTTTAGTCAGTATGAAATTGGTGTTTAATTTATGACATGCTTTAAAAGAAGAAAAAAATAGGCTAAAAATAACAATTTTCTGCATTTTTATTTATTTTTTATTTTTGATGTGTTATCTATGGTTTTCACAATTTAAGTCTTAAATACGAGGAGAACACTTTGTTCACACAATATTCACTTCTGTATTACAATTGCAATTGTGATGTAATAGTCCATATTTTCTTTAGATATAAATGTACATGCATGGAAGTATCTTCAGGGCTCGGCAAAAGCACTCGTCTGCTCGTCCTGGGGAGCAGATTTTGCTGACAGACGAGTGATTTTTATTGTCAACTAGTCTGTCGGACAAGTAGGTTTTATGTACTTGGGTTACGATATATATGAATTCATAAAGTTATTTTATGTTTCCAGTTCACTTGAGTAAATTATACAATAAGTCACATCTAATTATTTGAGACTGTAAGTGTTTTATGATAATATTTCAGATATGAGGTATACTCTTCCGTCCTGTTACTTTGTTCTCTCATGTCATTACAAGTTATGTTCTGTTACTGATAATAAAAATTTAAATAAAAAATTGTGTTTCTCTTGAATTGTTTTTAACTTTTCAAAAATTTAGATATTGAAATAGTATGTACATATAACATTGATACTTTTTGGTTTGTTGTGGAGTTGTCAAGACAAAACAAATCAAAAATATGAAATGCGAACATTCTGGTCTCAGCCTAGCTGTTAATTAAATACAAAAAAATAACTATGAAATTATATATATACTTTTGAAATAATAATATGTGAAATCAATTAGAATATTGATATTTTATCACAAGAATCAGTTAATCATTTTTTTTATCTTTGTTTAATAAACTCTTTTTTAATGGTAACAGGATGGATTTTTTTTATAAATATGTGTGGTATTTTTTGGTTACCCTACCAAAACAACAACTTTTAGGAAATAACACTTTAAATGTTTATTAAAATTCATTTGATGCGTTTATACTGTTAATGTACTATGTTTTGAGTTTCCTTTTCCAACAAATGTAAAAATTTCTGATAATGACTCATTTACAGTCATATGATATAGACGATATGTTATTCATATGACTACAACAAACCTTTACAC